CTACGACGCCAAGCTCTCTCCTCCTTTAAATTAGAACCAGCAGCGGGGTTCAGGGTCGAGGAATGAGGACGCAGCCCACATCTGCGTCTGGGCACGCGTCCCTGCCGCGCCGTGGAAAACGAGTCGGGATTGATCCAGAGACGCAAAGAAGGGTGGAAGGGTTGTCCTGTTTTCCAAGGCAATCTGGGATTTGGGAACACTGGTCCTGCGGAGCGTGTTTTTTGTGTGTCATCGCACAGCTGGAAAATGAGCCATCTGAGAAGTTTCTCCTCCCGGAAAACACAGAGGATGAGAGAGCGGAGCTGAGCAGGAACAGGGCGAGAAGGAAATTCCTCTGGGCTTGGAGCAGTCCGGTGGCTGCCAGGATTAGCCATCTTCTGGTGACCCTGCCCCGCCTGCGGTCAGCTGCTCCTTGGCGTTAACCCATGGCTGGCCGCCGGCGGGGCTTAGAGAGCGTCGTGAGCTCTGCTCCTCCGTCCTGTCTGTCCGAGCTCTTCACCCCTGACCCCTGACCCCTGACCCCTGACCTCGGCGAAGCTCCCCGCAGCCCAGCCACGACCGAGTTTTGCTCAGCTGCCTGAGCCCTGTCTTTCTCCCCGGATCTGACGAGACCCAGACCCTGCTGGATCACTGCCAGACAGTATTTCTGGACTTTCAAAAACATGAGGCTGAGTGGTTTTCAAAGAGACATAATAACAATAAGTGAGAGGAAACCATTCTGCCCATGTAATTCATGTGGTTTTTAGTAGCCAGTTGGCTTCAACATCATGAATGGGCAGCTTGTTACAAACTCCCACCACTCTTTGTGTAAATAATGTCTGTATGCCAGTGGAGAAACATTTGGATTTCAGCGTATCCCATTTTTGTAGCAAATGTCAGATATTGAGCCTCTTTGTCCTTGTTTGATGTGTCAGTGTGTAACCATGCCCCGTTCTGCAGATGGGGGTTCTCCAGTGCTTAGGAGCTTTTGTGTCTATATTGCAGCAATATCTGTGTGTTAGAGCGCCCCCTGTCTGCAGGTGGCGGTGTTGCAGTACAGGGAAGCGTCTCTGTGTGTCTCGTCTTTTTTGTAGTGTCTGTGTATGACTGCAGGTGGGGGTGCTGCAGTACGGAGAAGTGTCTGTGCGTCTATAGTGCAGTATCTGTGTATAACAGCGCCCCCTGTCTGCAGGTGGGGTTGCTGCAGTACGGAG